CCCTCACTGAAACCCCTGGCAGCGTGGACCAGGGATCTTTGCCAGCGAGTCGATCAGTTTGCACGCTGGGCACAGACGACCCAGCCCCCCAACTTGTTCTGGCTGTCCGGTTTCACCTTTCCCAACGGTTTCCTCACTGCTGTTCTGCAGTCATCAGCTCGACAACGCAACGTGAGCATTCACACAACCACATGCGCACAGGAGACGGTTATGTAATCCCGCTCACTTTGTGATTGATGGCCATATATTTTTGAGTGTCTCAGCTTGTTTTAACAGATGGTTTTGTGAGCTGAACCCAGTGAATCGTGATTCCAGCACTGAAGATTAAACAGCAGAGATTTTTAAATTTCACAGCACATAAAATACCCATAATATAGACACCCTACTTTGCTTGCTGTGCAGGGTTTATTTGATGAAAACTACTCTATTGTGTGTCCCTGCAGATATCAGTAGATATGCTGTCCTGGGAGTTTATAGTGTCCACTGTAGATGACAGCAAGCTCCTTTACCCACCAAAGGTGAGACACTTTTTATTTCTTAAAATTGTATAGAAAATGACACAAATCTGCCGCAGGGCTACTTTTTCTGATCCATTAGCTTTCAGCTGTCATTACAGCTTTACATCACATCTTTCATCTTCACTCAGACACCGGCTGTGTTTTTCCCAGAACAATCTATTTTCATTCAAAGCAGCATCTCTATTTTCATCCCTCAAATACACTCACGTTTAGATGTTTGGGTTTTTTTTATAGATCGTGTAAAATGTTTTGATTGGTCATATTTTCTTACATTGTAATTATTTAATTTCTATCCCTGATCTCTTTTCTCTCTTTTTGATTTTTCAGTGCCAGTCTGCACTTCTATCATTTCTTAACTTGATGTTTTCCCTCTTTTTTTTTATAGCTTTGACTCTTTTTCCTTCTGTCCAAATGATTTTTTTTCTCCGGTTTCTCCCACGCCTTCTCTTTCTGTTCTCCTCCTTCACACCCTCCTTTTTCCTGTCCTCTCTGTACCACTCTTGTGTTCCCATGTTCTCTCTCATGACCTACTGCTTCCCATTCACCTCCTTTCTGAGCCACCCTTGTTTTATTCTTATTCCTCTTTCTCTGCCTCTACTCTAGCTTCTTCGTAACCCCCGCCACCCAAACACCACCACCTTTTGCCATCCATCTTTCTTTCTGCAGCTCTCCTCTTCCCTCTTCTTTCCTCTCCTCGTTTCATTATCTAATTCCTTGGCAGAGCTGTTAGTCATGTTTTCTTTAATGCAAGAAGTCACCTCCGAGCGAGTGTTTATATCACTCCCCCTCCCCTTTACCTATTTATAATCCATGTTCTTTCCACGTTTTTCTGCTCATGGCCTTCCATACCTGTCTCTTTGGCCCCTCCAGGACGGAGTCTTTGTCAGAGGTTTGTATTTAGAGGGAGCGGGTTGGGACAAGAGCAACTCCTGTTTGGTGGAAGCTAAACCCATGCAGATGGTCTGTCCTATACCCACCATCCACTTCAAACCAGTGGAAAACCGCAAGAAGATGGCCAAGAGTGAGTGAAATTCCTTACTTCGTTTCACAAACTTTTTTTTACGTTCCACTTTATTTATTTTCATGTGGTTTTTTGTCACCTGTGTTATTATGTTCATCCATAAATCGCTTAGTTTGGGTTCTTGTTTTTGTTCTCTGTCCCGCTTTGTGGTTTCACCGACTCAGTTGTGTGTCTCTGTATGAAGGTACGTACCTGTGTCCGTGTTACTACTACCCGGTGCGTGCTGGTGGGGCAGGCCGAGCGTCTTTTGTTGTCGGCGTTGAACTTAAATCTGGAGCTGTGACTCCAGAGCACTGGATCAAGAGAGGAACTGCTCTTCTCATGAGCCTGGACAACTGAAGGCTTTAACAATCACGCACACACTGACTGTAAAACGTTGTTTCTGTGCAAGGTTCAGGTATTCATTGTGTAGTAGTTCTTATTTTATTTTTTTATTATCTGTTTTTGTGACTGAAATGATTTCAAATGTGAGTTCTACAGTAAAGTGAATTCTATATAAAGTAGGATTTTACACCTGAGCTCGACTCGTTCTTTGACTCTTTGAAGCAGGTCAGACACATTTCTGGAAGCTCTCCTTCTCTTATTTCTTTTTTTTTTTTTTACCTTTTTCTTCTCTCTGCTCTTAAAATGACCGACTGTGCACTCCTCTCCACAGACCTCCATCAGTCTTTCCATGCTGACCCCCTCTTACCCTGCTGAAACACACACATTAACACACCACCGTCTACATACACATGCACAGGAAATCTCCGACTGTGAGGTATCGGCGCTTACTGGAAGCCTACTTCTTTGTAACATCTGGATCAAGTGACTGTTGGGTCACGTAAGCATTTGACTGTGTGCTCAGTGGATTCCTTGGTAACGTGATGAGCTATTACATCTATTTTATGTGTTTTTAAAAAGTAGACAGGTCTGGTCTGTAAGTGCATGCGCAGAATAGCATGATTGGAAGGAATAGTGGCTGTTTGGATTCAGCTGTATATCCAAAATTGGCAAAAAAAAAAGGTAAAGAAATCCTTTGAACCCTCAGCCATAAAAGGCTAATGGGCTATTGTTACCCCACCATGGTGATTTTGGGGAGGGGGGGGGAGGCATAGGCATCCAAATTTGTGAATGCAATAACTCAAAAATGAAGTGATGTAGGATTTACAAATTCATACCATACGTACATCTACTAAAACTCTTTGAGTTTCAATCCTGGTGGCTTTGATATTAAGGTCAGAGGTCAACCTTTTTATCAAAGTCAATATTGAGCAAAATACAGCACTATTGTGAGACACAAATGTGTTGTATTTAATGTTATCTGTATTTGCTTAATGGGCCTTGGGAGAGTTCTATACCATGGTGCACGGTTGCAAGGAAAATAGTGTCATTGGCAAGACAACATGATTTAGATGTAAGCATTTTTACAGTATGATGTCAGAGTGGCTATCCTCCACCTGAAGCTCAAAGTGACCTGATGACCCCACGTTTTAAAGGTCTTACTGTATAGTATGTTTATCACAATATAGAGGCTGTGGAATGACCTCAAAACACCAGACACCACGACAATGTGGCCCTGCTGAAGCAGTCTTGAATAAAGTAATGGTTCAGAGTTTGTTCTGAACATTGTGCAGGTCTGATCCTCCTTTGTCTTTTCTGCTAAAGGAGGTTTGAACAGTTATTAGTGGAAGATTTGACCCCATTCCTCCACACACCCCGCAAATTTATTTTAATGGTTAGTGCAGATTAGAATTGTTTGTGTTATTGGCTTAAGCGGGCTGTGTATATGTGAATGTAGTACTAAATGCTTCACATATTTTCCACTGCATATTTCCAGTGTTTATGAGGCGGTCATGATATATTCCTTCTCGGCTTTTTCACACTTAGTGCTCTAACAGTCATGAAAATATGAACCAATTGCATTCGTTTTACAACCTTTAAACCAAAATAACGTTGATAGAAATGTGCAAGAAATCAAATTTGTCTTGTTTTTGCATGCAGGTATGCAGAAACGTGTCCACGGTGTAAAAAAATAAAAAGCAAGAAAACAATGCAGTTACTCAAGGTGAGGCAGAGGACATTTTTATGCTAATATGCATGTCTCCCGAGCTTGGAAAAAAAAGGGGAGGAGGGGGGGGGGCCAGTGGGTGAAGGAGAAATGAACCCATTCAAACAAATGAATTCTAATGAAGCTTCACAGACAAGACGTTTGGAGTCAGTCAGCGCTGTGAGAGGGAGAGAGAGGGAGAAGCCCCGGACTTCCCCACTGGAAAAGGACTCGGCCCAAACTCCTGAAAGGGAGGGCGAGAAAAACAAGAGAAGGGACCCTGGAGAAAGTAAGCTGGGAGGAAGAATGATTCCAGTAATGAGAGAGGGGGAACCATTAAGGGGCGGAGGGAAGCTGAGTTCAAGGTTGTATTCAGAATTAAGGACTGTCCCCCTCAAAGACCAACACAGACTTCCTCGAGGTTTAAGAGCCTCTTTATCAGACCTAGGTCTGTGTGTGTGTGCGTGTGTGCGCGCATTGGTGGTCTCTAGTTGGGTGGGAGGTGGAGGGGTGAGCACATGGAATTCAAATTCAAATTGGCTGATTCTCCATCCTGATTGTAACAAATATCAGGCTTGGGAGGTTTTTGTTTTTGTTTTTTGGATGAGAGCTTAAGCTGACGTAAACTTGAATGTTGATGTGCTGTGGAGTCGTTTTAGAAACACTGTACAAGTGGTACTAATGAACCCTCCTCCCTGACGCGATGTGTGCACACAGGGATTCAGATTATATTGCTCATCTCGGTGACACTGCATCACCACAGTGGATTTTAGAGGCGATGTTGTTGGAAAGGGAGTATTAATTAAGAAGGCAGCTTTTCCATCTGCCCATCCCCTTAAATTTAAAACACTTTGAAGAAATGTTGGCAGCATTTATTCAGCGCGGGTGAAAACAGGATCCAGGATCCACCTTTTTGTGAACTCTTTAGACGACAAGGAAGGGAAGTGTTTAATCACACGTCTCGCTCTTGAACACAGACTGTTGCTTGTCTGCGTTTGGAGAAGCCCTGACAACAGCTCAAGAACTCCTGAGAGCCAACCCGATCTCAGTTGGCTTTATTTGACTTGCGCTAATTTGATTTCCCGGCATGCTTGCGCGCAACTTTTCCGTTTCTTGGGAAGTGTAAGGCACCTGACAAGATTACAACTACGAGTGGCTCGTTGGGCCCCATTCGGTTCCAGCAACTCTTCCCCCAGCTGAGAGCTGGACTCTTGAACCAAATGCTTACGAGAAGAGAGGAGAGGAGAGGAGAGGAGAGGAGGGGGGCGGGAACTTGCGGCTCGGTTGTTCGCGATCGAATAGTAGTTAATAATGGAATTTGGGCAAGTTGTACAGTGTGTTTGCCAGTGACTGTGGAGGCGGGGCAGTTAATGTCCAAGACTCTTCCACTGAAAATAAACCTGCATGAGGGAAGAGAGAGAAGGAGAGAGAAAGGGAGCGGAGGGAGGGAGGAGGAAGGGAAAGAGCCTTTCAGCGGGGACAGAAGGGAAAGAGTCTCCGTTTCAATGGAATAAAAACTGCGCAATTTCTTTACGCACTCCCTGCTCGGATCACTCGCACCGTTGCTGTCCATGAGACGGATATCAGCAGCGCTTTCTGGATGATTGTTGGCGGGGGGGGGAGTCCGTTCCCCATTGCAAACCCCCCCGCTGTCTTTGAGGCTTTTTTTTAAGGCTTCACCAGCTTGCGATTTTTTTCGTAACCCGTTGGTGTTCAGATGAAGGAAAAAGAAACGCGATATGACTGTGAAGATGCAACATCACTGATGAGTGTGTTCGTCATGCCTTGCCCATGGGCGAACGCATCCACATTTTCTGTGCCGGAGGGGGGCGGGGAGGGGGGTCTGCGATCTCTGCGTGCGCAGTGCTTCCCCGTGTCATAATTTGCGCCTAAACGCGTTATTACGGACGTTGAATGGAAAGGCTTAGTATTTTATTTTTCGTCAGTGGGGGAGATGAGAGGGCTTTTAGAGGTCTGCGTCATCCCGTGGTCGTGGAAGGAGATGGGCTACTTTGCAGATTTTCCACTGTTTTCACAGCCAGAGTCAGCGCGGCACCTCCCCAGCACGTTTTGGATCACACACAGAAGGTAAGCTCTCCGTGCCTCTGTCAGGCATGCTGGCCTTATACCTAATTGTAGGGGGGCGAGACTCCATTGAAAACAACCTGAACTACAATGTCCTCTTTCGTTAACCTTGTAAAAAAATGCGAGCTGCTTCTAGAAAATGAGTCCAGCAAACTGAAAATGTTGCACAGCAGAAAGGCGGAATTTCTGTGGGGTCTGTGGGCTGTAGTAGCCTCACGTGTCCTTCTTTTTTTAACCATAAGGACATAATTTGATGGTATTATGTAATTGCTTATAGAGCAATAGGCTGCACCGCTCCAAGTTTGCAGTGATAAAGGTGGAGAAGTTTCGATGTTGTTGCTGATTTGTTGCGTTTTTTCCCCTTTTTTATGTTGCAGACAGCTGCTTTAAAAAAGAAAGAAAGAGCCAATTTCATATACAAACTAAAGTTGGTGATGTCATGTTTTCTACGGTAAGGAAGGCAGAGTTTACAGGAAGGTACGTCTGGAGTTGGTGATGTCGCAATCACCGTGTGCCGATTTCCGTTAACACATTTGCAAATGTAAGGAAAAAGACCACGGAGCGTGTCCGTGGGTGTGAAATGCAGCGCGTCACTGGGATATGTTTTGGTCATTAGTACGGGGGGGGTGGCTGATAAGAGCCAGCTGAATGAAATGGGGGAGGGAGGAGGGGGGGCTCGCTGGTGTCGGCAGAAGGAGTGTCGCATTTTCTTTCTGAGATGTCATGTGGTGAAGTTGTGGCGGGTTCTTTACCAGGAAGAGCGTTTGAATTTTCTTCCCCTTGGATTTTTTTTGTCTCCACCCCTCTCCCTGTTGTTCCTTTAGCACTTTGGGTACTCCGCCACTGGAGGGCAACCCAGGACAGAGGTTCACCTTTGAGTAGGTTACTTTTATGTCCGTATGGAAGTGAATATATTTGCGTGAGAGGACCTCAGCTATGACTGTTTGCATACAGCGAGGCGAACAAAGGTCACACAGGGACTTGCTGTGGTCTGTAATGAAGCATCCTGAAGCAGGCAGCCTCGGCTGTGTTAAACCACCCGAACATATTTATTATTGTTGTTGTTGTTATTGTTATTTTGTTTAAATAAGGGGACTCAGTTCAGTTTAAGTTAACTTCCAGATTGGTGTCGTTACACTATTTAGCCTCAATAACTGTAGATGTTGATGCTAGCTTGGATGCGAACAACTCTGACGTAAAGACTAAAAACAGTCTAAAAATAGTTCATTTTAATGTAAAAATGTTTTCCCCCCCACAACTAACATCAGCCCCTTTTTATTCCTTGGAAACCCGCATGGGAAATAATGTCTCTATTTGTATGATGCTACACTTTTATGACTTTAAATCCCATGATGCACTGAGTGTTTCTTCTTCACTTTTCACTGTTCTTTTTCACTCCAAGGTTATTGTAGTTAACTAAAAGTAAACTAAAGTTTAAAACTCAATATGAGTCCAAAACTTTATGTCTGTGAGACCGTGAGTCAATGCTTACCATAAATACAATAATAATTAAAAAACACCGAAATTGTCCAAACAATAAATTAAACTGAAAAAAAAGAAAACCCAATTTGAAAACTAACTGAAACTAAACTGAATTAAACACAAAAATTAAAAAGAAAATGAAATAAAAACTAATAAGAAAATACAAAACTATAATAACTCTGTTTCACTCACTATGTGCTTACACCCCACTCTGCATTTAATCATTAGTTATTATTATTTTTTGCTCTTTTCCTCAGCGTGTCTTTGTCCTGTCTTCCTCCCTTCACTGCCAATCAGATGTCTGGCCGTCCCTGAGCTTGGTTCTGTTGGATGTTTCTTCCTGTTAAAAGGGAGTTTTTCCTTCCCACTATTGCCAAGTGCTTGCTCATAGGGGATCGTCTGATTGCTCGGGCTTTCTCTGTATTATTGTGAGTCTTTACCTTACAATATAAAACACAGTGTTGTTTTGTTTAAATTGAATTGAATTTAAATTAGGTTTAAATATTAAGTCCCACAATGCAATGCATTAGAGAGGGTATTAGAGGTGGGAATCGCCACACACCCCCGGATGCAATTTTTAACATTTTACAATGTCCCAAGTATTGCAAATCATATATTGTGATTTATCACCTTTTTAGTTAAACTTGGTCAGTCGATTTTTTTTAATTCAAGTAGTTATGTCACTTTAAAACCTGCTATAAATGTTGCCATACGTCTGCTATCGGTCTGCCATTGAATTGGATCAAGTTTGCAATTACATGGAGTCTGTTTCTGATAATTGACTGTGATAAATCATTGAAAATCACATATCTGTTGACATCTACATGGACAAAAAAATCATATTTAACAATTACATTTGTGCTCTGCAACTTTCCTGTTCTTTAGGAATATAACCAGAATACAACCAACTGGCAGTCAGCTGAGTCGAGTCTCCTCATGTTGTGCTCACTCAGACTGATAATAACACGTTGGCAGTCTGTCCTCATTAATATATCAGCGCACACTTATTTATGAAACATTCGACAGCCTTTCTGAGCGTGACTGCAGTCAGTCCAAGTCATACTGTGACTGTTTGTAGAAAGGTCACCTCTGCATTCGTTTTGCAATCCAAAGTGGATGTGAGTGAGTCTTCCTCCAAATCAGGGCAACCATTTACCAATTTAGTAACCACAAGTTGCAATCAAAAAAAAAATCTGTACAATTTATTTATTTTACTACTTACATACATCCTTCACATGCCATCGTCATCCATGAAGTCAACATGAATTTAAAGCTTTATGTCCATACTTGCAGAGAAGCAGTTTTTCCAGTACCTCAGAGGTTCTGTCACTTTCTGTATGGACTTTGCTGTTCCAAGCTATTTTTTGGACAAATTGGTGAAATGTAAGAGCGTGTTTTTACCTCTAGATGGTGCCACACTTTCAGTCCAGGTCTTACTATTTATGGGCTTTAATAACATCTGCTAATTTCCCTGACTTTAGTGTTGGAAAGGCAGATAGGCCTCTGAATCTCTGTGTTAAAATGCTGCTCTGTAGATGTCTGTCACTAACTGATCTATGTAACCCTCTCCTCATCACAGGGACAAAGTGAGGAGCATGGCTAAGCCTTGTCGCGACGTGTTTAAAGAGCCGCCGGCGCCCGACTGAGGCCACGAGTTTGGTTGGCTACACTGCAGGCAAGAATGAGCAAGTGCATCAGCCCCACAGCACGGAAATGGTAAACACGCCTTAGTGATGAAGGATGCTCATAGACCCCTAATAGTTTTATGCATGGTTATTGCAATTAAGAGCAGTTGCTAAAACACTGCTGCCACATGCAGTTTTTGATTATTCCAAACTTCCAAAAAATATTTTAATAGTCACTTTTATAGACTAAAAAGACTCTAATATTTACCCAGTATTTGTTCATGGTATCTGACTTATAACCCGCTTTAAAATTATTCTGCACTATGTTCTATCAAACCATCAACAGCACTAACATTGATTGGTATCTGACTCCTAACAGAAATACGGCTCTGATCTATACTAGTATCAAAGTTTTTGAGTAATTGGACAGATTCTCGTCAGATCCATTGTGTTTATCGGCATGTTTTCTCCTGCAGGGAGGGAGTCTGCACCTGGCCTCTGCAAGTGTCCACCTGCTCAGGTAAGACTTTTCACCTTTTACCCAGAGCCTGAACTACCAGTGCTAGCTGTACCTGCCAGCTCCGCAGTGACAAATGGGATGTGCATGACTGAACCGTTTAGCCATGATGGAAACCTCTCTCTGTGCTCTGCTTGTCTGTCTTCCACTAGAGATTTTACGTTGTAGTCGGCTATTGTTTTGCATGTGTATAGCTTCCATAGGCTGAACCAGAGGCTAAGTGGCCTTGAATACGCTTTAACTTCCATACATTTAAAGGTTTTCTTCTCTGTTCTGCCCTGCTGTTCGCATGCCTTTACGAGGCGTGTACCAGAGAAAAAAATGTAGTTCTGCTATTTTACTGATATAAATCTTTCTCTGTTTTGCCGTTCTCACCACTGTCAGGGTTGGGGCCCAGGCTAGAGCCATGCACACATAAGCGTCTCTGTTTTACAGATGTAACACCATTATTTAGGTGTACACGCACCTAACCCTGCACCAGTTCTGTTTCATTTTCACACTTGAAACACTCTCTAGCATACATCTCAAACACCCCCACTCGTGTAGGGACAAATGCACACATGCTCGCCAAGCCTCACACACCTGCAGTGTTTTTT